CCTATTTTAGTTATTATCTTCTCTTTAATTTGCTATTTTTTTTTTTTTTTTAAGTCCAGGGGAAAATACCAGTCCAAACTTCCTGAAAGCACAAAGCTGCCTCCTGCTGTGTACGTGTAGGAGAGGCTGAGACAAAACCCTCCCCTGCCGCACCCTCTGCAGACGGACCCGGGCTGTGTTCAGGACTCACAAGAGCAAAGTTGAAGGGCAGTAAAGCAGGCCCCGGGACACGGACGGGAAGGGGGCTCAGCGCCTTCTTTCCCGGGGAGACAGCCTGGCTGGGGAGGCCGGGTGTGCTGTGCATTTCGTGGACGTGAGTGACGGCAGGAGGGCAGAGGAGCCCTTGTGCCCCATGAAGGCTGCGGGGGTGGGTGGGGGGAGCGCTGGCACGATTAGCCCTTGCTTGGCTCTCAGAGGTGGATTTTTAATATTAAAGGACTGTCTCTGGTAAGGACTCGAGGTAATGATGCCATTCATTTCCTCATTGTCCAACTGCCTTCCAGGACCCACACACGGCCTCCACTGGAAGGCACACCGCACAGTGGGACTGTCTTCCAGGATATAGTGGGGAAATTAATTAATTCACCCTGGAAGGGCCTTTCCCGTGAGTCTCTGGCAGGGCTTTCAGAGGAGGCCCCTTGGAAAGAGGGTGTTCGACAGACATACACAAACACAAGAATCCTTTTCGAGGCTTTGTAAGAGAAGTTACAAAAAAACTACTCGCCGGCAGGTTTAAAAAATGCAGATTTTACTACTGTCATGCAACTGGATTTCATAGCTACGAGCTAATAGCTGTGACGAAGGAATTATTAAAGTGTTAAATATTTCATTTAAAAGGGAACATTGCAGTCACTTTGAAAAGAAAACTCAGAACTCATCTGTTGAAAACCATCATCTGTGAGACGACACTGGAAGCAGCAGCTGGGGTCCACCACCATCCGCACACCGCGGGGCTTGCACCGGACTCACACCGTGGGGCTCTCCCTGCAGAGTTCACACCCCACACAGCGCCACGCACGCTGCAGGGCTCACGCCATAGGGCTCACACCGCCACCCGCACCGCCAGGCTCAGACGGCAGGGCTCACGCTGCGGGGCTCACCATGGGGCGCACACTGCCTTGGACGGTGCAGCGCCCGGGCCACCACGCATACCACCGGGCTCGCAGCGTGGGGCTGCCTCATGTGGGGCCACGGTGCGAAGCTGGGCCATCCACGGAGGAAGCCCCCACCCCAGCCTGGCAGAAGCTGCCCAGCACCCTGCAGACTGCAACCGGCCCTGCTCAGAGCACCCCTACAGACAGGAGAGCTTAGAAGGGGAAAAAAGCGTGCACGCGCATTCTGAGTCTGAAAGGTGGTCGTAGTTGCCCCAAAGGCTGCTCTCCCTGAACTCTGTGAATCGCGCTTCCGGCAAAGTGCAGCTTTTATTTTCCCAGCTGCTTTGCCACTGACAGATAAGGATGTAAAGATGCATATTATACAAAGAAGTGACGTTATTTTTAGTAAATAAATACAAAGTTGGAGAACGTTAACAGGAAAGGACTTTAACATTTCATTATAAAAGAAACATTAAGATTTATTTCGAGAGTAATGGTTTCGTTAAATAACCATTTCTTGGAGAAAAATGAATTCGAAACCAAGCTGACCTTTGCAAGAACTTGATAAGGGAGCACCTGACCTCCTGAAAACGCTCCCCAAGACTGCTGGTCCTCAGAGTGGCTACCGCGAATGATCATGCTGATACTGTATTATTTTCTTTGTAATTAAAAAAAATTTTTTTAAATGTTTGTTTATTTTTGAGACAGAGAGAGACAGTGCATGAACGGGGGAGGGTCAGAGAGAGAGGGAGACATAGAATCTGAAACAGGCTCCGGGCTCTGAGCTGTCAGCACAGAGCCCGACGCGGGGCTCGAACTCATGAACCACGAGATCATGACCTGAGCCAAAGTCGGACGCTCAACCAATCAAGCCACCCAGGCGCCCCGAATGCTGATACTTTAATAAAGCAGATTAGCAAAGGGCAAAACGCCTCAAAACGCCAAAAACAACCCATTTTTTAAAAGAAAATGCTCTCTACTAAAAACACAATATCCCAAGAAAATGAATGCATCTTGGTCAATACTTGCTTTTCTTCTGACTCCCTCAACAGCACCCCGAACTTCACTCCAAGTAACTGCAGCCTTCCCTTCCCACAGAGAAACCCTATCTGTGGCGGCTCCAGAAAAAGGCAGCCACAGAGACTTCCAGACTTCTGGTCAGGATAGACAGCTTCATGGTTCCTTGGCCGAAACACCCAGACAATTGACTTGTTACTACTAATCAATCTTGGAGAATTTCCAAGAGAAGTGGAACTATGTGAAATTTCCACTATTTGTTAAGTTTTAACCCACAAAACTGGCAATTTTATATGCTTAACTGTGTGTGTGTGTGTGTGTGTGTGTGTGTGTGACCCGCCTTACAAAATGAGCCAATGGTGAATGGTGTGCTCATCTCACAGTGAGCCTGAAACGGTGAAGCAGTCTGGCCCGTGCAGGAGAGGGGCCCATGGGACGCAGCATAGGGGTCCCCAGTCCACAGGCCAGCACCCGAGGAAGAGCAGGTCAGGGGGCTGGAGCACAAGGGTGGCCACAGTCAGGATTACGTTTTTAAAACACACTGAAATAGGCAGGCCTGGCCTAAATCTCAGAGGCAAGACCATGATGGAAAAATGATATGCCAAGCCATGTCAAATGTGTTCAAAAATTAAGACGCACAGAAAATAGAATCTGTTAAAAAAAAAAAAAAAGCATTTATTCCATATTGAAATGTACCCATGCCTCCCAGTTTGCAAAGGTTTCTTTCTTTATGTTAAAGCACAGCTTCCAGAGCCTCAGAGGATTTTCCTTGCACGGGACCCGCCCGCTCGCCATGATTTCAGCGTTGCCACAAGATCCAAAGTAGAAACAGAGCAAAGCCAACTACCACTGGCTAGAAAGGGGTGTTACCACATCTGGGGGTTAGTGCCAATTAACTCCGTGTTAGCAATTGTATTATAACCATCCACCACCTCCCCTCTTAAACCGTAAAATCCCCACACCTGGTCCCTGCCTGGGAGTGAGCGATTGAGCTAAATTAGAAAAACCTGGCTTGCACATGCCGAGGCGTGGGAAATCCCGGCCCGCAGCAACCACTAACTGTCAGGAGGCGGGGCTGGCCCAGGGGACCCTGTCTCCCCGAAAGCTGGCTAGGAGGATCTCGCCCCAGTTGGAAGTGCCCGCCAGCACTGTGGGGCTCGCCCGACGGAGAAGGCTTCCAGGTTGGCTTCGATGGCCTTCATCCTTACCCCAGCGGCTGCTTCCAGCTCGTCCTGGTCACTGACCGTGACCGGTTAGCTGAGCAGAGGCCGTGGGCGTTGGGGCCCAAGGCCAGGGAGGCAGGATAAGTGTGGCCAGTCCCAACCCTCTTCAAACACTGAGGACAGGACCTCAGGATTTAATAAGCTCACTCCCCAACGCCCCTTTGATTATATAGAGACTTCCTGTCTTGGCTTTATAATTTTTCCGTCCTAAAACTTTCAAAACCTTAAATTTCAGCTCACTATTCATTAGACTTAAGGGCAGGGAAGCCAGTCGGGCAACTCTTCCTTCCCCCAGCGACACAGCAGTACTCCCCGAGTGCTGATGTGGACACACAAGCTCAGAGCACCAGGATCCCCAAGCCCCTACTTCAGAACCCAACCACACCTGAGTTCCTCAGCCCGCGCAGCACACAGAGGTCACACGTGCGTCCTGCGGCATCCATGCACCATCCATGCACCCAGTTGGCTCAAGCTACCGGGGAGCAGCTGAGGCTCCCCTGCGCCCTGAGGGCCCATCCAGGATGCAGACCAGGGAGGGTTTCTGGATGTGTGCACAGTGACAGGCAAAGGCCTGCTGTAGCTCCCACACCCATGCTGGAGACCGTTCCGGAGGACACAGGGGGTGAAGAAGGGGCCCTGTTCATTACGGCTGCACCATTTCAGTTCATTATGTGCAACAAAGCTCAAGGTGTTCTCTGCTCACTTGTCTGACCTTGTTAGTCAACTCAGGTGTTAGCTCAACTTCACAGGGGCTTCTCTATCCACTGCCCCTAGAAATTCTACTCCATTTTCAAGTTCCTTTTTGCTGAAAATCATGGCAGCTATTAGAATACCGTTAAGCTCATTTAATCCATTTCGAAATTCAAGATTGCTTTAAATGCACCTTATCCAAAATCTCAGGGTAATTTTGTCCCCTGAGCATATGTGTCTACACATCTATACAGAGATGTATATACATATACACGTGCTTTATTAAAACGAATATAAAAAAAATCACTACGTAAAATAAGCCCCCGGCACATGTCTAGAATAATTTTAGTTGCCGTAATTAAGGTCCCAACAACAATTTAAAAGGAAATTTCTGGGAAAATGTTTTTGGTGACCATAGACCATGTGCCTTTGGCATATAACATTTAGGCAATACGTTCTCAATTCATCCTTTAAGAACACTATATCAAACTAGGGTAAGTTTGAGAAATTAAACTGAAAACTTATTCAAGAAGACACAATGCGGCTACCCACTCTGATGTAAATGTCACCAACCGAGTTTATGGAAGTGGCTAATTGTCCATGTACAAGCCTCATTTTCTGTGCTGTTGGCAAGCAGATAGTTTAAGTTAACAATAAGCTTATTGAAAAATTCACTGCTATTCAGATGTGTTCCCATTTAAACCCTTCAGCCAACAAGAGTTAAGAGTCGATCTGCATGCATCATTTTTATTGCCTTTGCCAAGAATTATGTGACCATGTGCCAAAACTAACACAAGCATTTGGAATGGGTGGAGATCGTGAACTCTTGTCCTTACAGCGTGGCCACATGCTGTCTCTGTTTAGATGATGTAAAAATACCAAGTCAGTATAGTCGATAAAATGAGCTGTGATGTAAGTGATAGTTAATAAGTCAAGCTCCCTGAACGAAACCCTAGGAGGCGGCGGAGTTACTGACCTCGCTGGAAAACGGGATGGTGAATCGCAGGCAAGGGGAGGTCTTTGAGGGCCGCCGGCTCATGGAAATAGGCATCCAGCCAGGCCACGCACTGCTTCAGGGGCGCCATCATTTCCCCTGGACAGCCGAGCAGCTCAGGAAGAGGGGGGGCCTCCATGGCTCTGCAAAAGCGGTAACAGGAGCTTAATAAGCCTCTAGGCCCTGCGTCCACACATGTGAAAAGCAAACAAACGTCTACTCTACCCACATGGGTAAAAGTCTACTGCTGCACAGCAATGGGAAAGGGCGCCGGAGGAGGGCGTGGGACGTCCGCCAGCCACGTTTCCCCCTTCAGCTTTAAGACACACAGCGCATCCTAGAAAACAAGAGGGGATGCTGGGAAGGAACAGCCTAGTATACGGGCTCTTCCGCCTGGGGCCCTGAGCGTCTGCAGCCATGGTGAAGCAGGACAAGACAGAGCACGGATGACCGGCACAAAAGCTGCTCTGGTGGGTGCATGCACTGCCCCTTCGTGAGACTAACAGGTGCATGTACGCATCTCCCGGTCACCTAGCAGATCACCACGTGTTATCAACAAGATTTTCCACAAATACTGTTGAAGTAATTAAACTGCATTTTGATCACCCCGCCCCTCCCACTGAATTTCAACAATAGCACGTTCATGATTTTCTATCACTTGGTGCTGCATTCTGGGGGATTTCCTCCAAGTCTGCTTTCAGTCTGCTGATGCTTATGCTTCAAAGTGTCTAATCTGTGTGGAGGTCGTTCTGTGAGGCTAACTCCCCTTACACTGCTCTTCTGGCTTACTTTTTTTTCCTCCAAATCCCACTCTTCATTCATTATGGTCACTTCTTCCTTTTATCTCAAGCTTAAACCAACGTTGTTTAGGCTCTCTTCAGTTTGCTCCTTGCCCTCGGGGTCTGATTCTTCTGTCTGCGGCACCTCCCAAAGCCGACTCCCCTTCAGCAGGTGCTGACTCTCTGGGATATGCTCTGTTGGAACGAGGAAATGTCCCCTCAGAGAGGCTTTACTTGGGTGCTTCTGAGCCCTAGAGTTTCATGATGGGTCCAATTTTAGTTTCCTAGGACCCCAAACCCACAAAAGCGCCAGCCCCAAGTCTGATTTCTTCTGATGACCTCCTTCCTCACCTTCGAAGGCTCAGCACAGGTGGCAGGCTTCCTAGCAGCTTGCTGGGCCTGGTCGGCAGAGGGCATCTAGAATTCTCAGATACTAAAGCTCTGGGGGTGGCGTACGTCCAAGCAGTACATTTCCTGACCCCTCGCGTCTCCCTCCCTGCGTGTTGCGGGGGGGGGGGTGCGTGTGTGTCAATCTCTGGGCTGCCTTTCTCACCTCGCACCCACCGCCCTTATGAGGGTCTGAACGGAGAGGCCGCCACCCACTCGGCCGCGTGGCCCAGCACAGGGACGACAGCGTGGCTGCGGCACCCGGGAGCGTGGGCCGGACCTGTGTGAGGACAGCAGCACCCACAGGGCACCGCAGATCCAGAAGCCCGTGTAACCTCACCCTCCAAGCTGTAGGCAGCAGCCAAAGACCTTGAAGTGCGTCTTACAAACGCTCCTGCCCTGCAGTCCGAGTCTCTCAGGCACGGCATTCTGCGGAAATAAGGGTCTCCACCGAGGTCCTGGGATCTTTCCAGAGATAAGCTTCCCTGGATGGGATGCGCAGAATGCCCTTTATACTGTTTTTCCACAAGAGAACAGTGGATCAGGGAGGGCTTTCTAAGCACTCACATACGGGCAGTGTTGGGGAAGGAACCGGACAGCAAATAGAACTGAGCCTGCCCAAACGGCCAGGCAGAGAGGGCTGGCCACGGCCCGGCCATCCTGCCGACTCACGACTGGACGCAACAGGCCCAGGCCTCCTCGCCAGCTCGCTGTGGGCCGGAACTCATGTGGACGGACCTCTGGTCGGCCTGGACCCCAACTCCGCAGAGGGGCCCCATGGGACCTGCTCCCTCCACAGGCACGTTGAGGCCAGAGGAGCGGGGGCAGGGCCTCTCGAGACATCCCTGGGGGGAGAAACCCATCTCCTCACTGCCCTGACTCCTTTCTCCGTTAGGACCTCCGGTCAGGGAAGGAGTGGACCTTCCTGCGCTTGTGCTTGGCTTAAACGTTATTCCAGTCCCTCTGTTCTCCCACTGTTCCTTCCTTGCTGATAAACTGATGATACTGGAAAGTAAAGATGGGCAAGAGTGTCTCGTGCTGTTCCATCCTGCTCCCGGGGTGGGGGGGGACAGGAGACAGGTCCACCGAGGATGAGCCAGGCCTCCCTCCCGACACAGCTGGCACCGTCCAGGGGGCAGCTTTGTGGCTAAGGCCGTGAGCAGGAGGCCATCTGCATGTGACACCTGGTCACACAGGGGGTGAGCAGGGCTGAGGTGCCCACGTCCCCACCCTCAGCCCGTGGGTGGCTTCAGTCCAGAGGAAGCAGGAGAGGGGCCGGGGCTGCATCAAGAGGCCACAGTGCCCCACACGCACCCAGTATCTCCATGGCCAGACTGGGGCCAGCCGAGGCCAGCCCCTCACAGGCCACAGATGCTCTCAGGGCTTGTGGGGTGTGCTCGGCCATCACACACGTGGCAAATGGGGTTCTCTGGGTCAGGGGGCCTACATCACAAAAGACGGGGGTCCTCTGCACCCAGTAGCGACCTGCTTTGCTCCAAGAGTTACAACTCCATCCTCGGAGGCCCTGGAGCGAAACGGGGGTGCCTGGCCATCAGGGGAAGGGGCCAGGCTGGTTGCCGCTCCCTCCACATTGCTAAGGGACTAGATTGGTAGCTGTGTTCCTGCTAGCATTTCCCACTCCTAAAAGGATATTTGAAGAATTTTTATAGTAGTAAAATTCATCTTAAATTGATTTTTTATGCTTGTGCTAAAGATCTCAACCTCTGATTTACTCTGTAGTTCTCCTTTTTAACTCTTTCTCTATTGGCATTAGGTAACTATTCATGGGTGAAATGTAATTAAACAGCTTTGATTCTGAAGCAAGGATTTATGATACTACATTTAAAATGAATGGCATTAAACACACACATAAAACCAGATTTTTAAAGCCATGACACAAATTTCCATTTCTACAATAAAACGAAATTTATTCTCTGCCCTGCCCTCCCCTCCAGCCTCGCTTCGCTTGCCCCTGCGCGAGCCGCGGTGTGACGGCAGCACTTATTAGGGAGGAGTCTCTCCAGGCTTCCCTATCGACCAGCCCTGAAGCCCCACTGATTACGGGCAAGCACCGGCGCATGGGAGCCCAGACCGAGGGCCGGGAAGCCAGCGCTGCAGCACAGACAGGGCCCTGTCCTGCTGTTGGCTGGGAGAGGGCAGAAAGGGGACACGTCACAGTCACTCTTTATTCACAGTCACGTATTATCAGTAAGAGTCACCCAGAGGCAAATGCAGGACACTGGAGCCCTTCTCCTTCTCTCCTGTTTTGTTGTTGTTGTTGTTTGTTTGTTTGTTTGTTTGTTTGTTTTAAACCTGGCACGAGAGGGCTGGCTAGCGGCTGACAAATGAATTTGGCTTTGTTGAGTCACACGCAGGACAGTGGACAGCACCGGGCACACCATGCCACAGGCAAACATAAAACCACATGTCGTTTGGCTTAAGGGTCTCTTCCAGAAAGAGGCAACTGCTGGCGATCCCAGGACAACAGCGTGTGGCCTTCTGGGGAAGCTCCTGGAACCCCAGTGAGAGAGAAAGCCCCATGCGAAGTTCTCCCGGACTCCTGCCCCGTTTGAAGAGGCAGCCCCGACCCCTTCCCTTCTGGGGCTTGGAGGAAGGACGTTCTGGCGTTAAACTATTTCAGATCTCGGGTCTGTCCTTCAACCCGAATCAGGACGCGGAAAAAGTGTGAGGCGCTCCAGGATGAACTTCTGAAGTGTCTTTAAGGAAGCAGAGGCAGTGAGGCCTTTACCGCCACGTATTAAGGGAGGGCCCGTCACTTAACAGCATTCCACACAGGAGCCTACGTGGTCTTCAAGGGAGGACTGCCCTTCCTACGCAAAACGAAGCTCGCGTTTCCAGACACGGATTTCAATTAGAAAGCGAGGGGATAGAGGCAGCATCCCACCAGAGGCAGGGGGGACACAAGGGGAGTGGACCAAGTTTACGTGAAATGGCCCCAGTGGACGGGGTTCCTAGCCGTCCATCTGCCACACGGGAAGCCCGAGTTGGCGCTTCCCATCCGCTGTGGCCCCCTCAGCCGGGTCACGCACCCTGGGCTGAGGGGGGGGGGGTGCAGCAGCCGCGGAGCCCGGAACCCACCGCCTGCAGTGGGCGAAGCGCGCCAGGCCGGCCTGGGTGCTAGACAGCCGCGCTCAAGGTCTGAGGCTGCGTCAAGTACTGGCACGACACGAGGAAACCTGACAGAGCCGTCCTGACAGCTCGGCTCCCGCTGTCTCCCCCGTTACCAATTCGCTCAATACTTTAAAACTCAACCAGCCTGGCAGGAGATTTGGGTATTCAGGTCTGGGGGAGCCTCAAGACTCTGCCGGTAGTAAAGAATCACTAAATCTCCGTTTCTGAATGAATCCTACTTCCCGAAGACATCAAAATGTCATGTACTTGGCTTAAATCCCATTTGATGTAAGAAAACAGGCCAAAAGTTCTAAGCTACTCGCATCTGATTAGCGGCATTAGCTACACCCAGGGGGCGGACTGCTGGGCGTTCGGAAACCTCTCTTTTTGACCCCAGTGCTTTTCCAACATCTCTGTCTTCACAGGATGAAACGGAGTCTTACAGTTTGGGAACATTAACTGGTGACGTTGGAGGCTCACCCAAGAAAAGAGCTCTGACCTTAGAGCCCTGAAGACACGTAGCCCTTGGAGTTCATGTGGAATTCGGCAGGAGTTGACCCAGGTTGTGTCCGTTGGCAAGGCTGAGAGATAAGTCTCTGTGGAGGCACACAGATGCCGGGTACAACTTGTTGTGGGAGGAGGAGTCCAGGGCCTTGGCCACGTATGGCATTTTAGACACCCTTACGATGAGAAACATTTCCCAAGCCGAGCCAGATAAGCAAATCTCCCCTTGTCTGGCTTCCAGGACACAGTGCGGACTCCAGAGTAGAGCGCCAGACCCCATAGTCCCAGGAAGGCGTGCGTTTTCAGCAAAACTTTAAATCTGCAATAGAGGGGACTTTAAA